GAAGTTAGGATGGATGTGTTCAGATCTCTGCCTTTTGTTTTGTGGTGTGGATAGCCCAAACTTAGTGCCTGACTGTGACAGATACAGCTTGGAGAGGAATTCTCTTATCTCCTATTTTGAAGTGCAGATCTCCAGTTTTTCCATTCTCTATCCCTCTTCTCTTTGTTTATTGCTGTGGTTCCAATTTAGAATCGTTAGGAAGCTAAAACCAAAGATTTGCTAAATCAGAGCGTAACACTTGCAGGCCTCATTAGGTAACGCTTCAATTGATTGTTTTTTGAGGCAGATTTACAATTAAAATGATAGAAGCAAGGTGAGTGAATGAAATTAACACCTTAAAGCATTATTTTTAGTTTCAATTTTTGTATTTCTTTTCTCAGTTAGAGAATGAGAGAGCCTGTGGCAACTCTCTAACTTAAGTCTGTATGAGAATTTTGTGGCACAGTTTTCCTTTGAATGGTGAGAGAAGGAGCAGAGGAAAAGACACCCAAAAGAAGGTTCCATCCTTCCTGAAAGAAGGTTTATAGGAGGATGTTCTCTCAGACCATTTTAAGTAAGTAATGATTACCTTCTTTTACTTACATTTCTGCCAAATTAACGTGATATTACTTTCACATATTTATGTTGTGAGTGAACTCATTGCAGTTGGGTGTTGCTTAGATGAAAAAACCAATATAGGAACAATTTTAGGTAGGAAAGTTTATTGGCTACCTTGCTTGTGCTATGGGAACATCACCATCCACTAAGGGCCTTTTAACACTCTTTTGTGTTTTTTATTTGTTTGTTTGGTTAGTTTTTGTTTCCAAAACAACAAATTTAAACACCAGTGACTCTCGTAAATGTGCTGCCTTCTCTGAGAAGTGGCCAGAGGCCTGTTTGCTCCCTTCTGCCTGTCTTTGCGGGGAGGGAAAGAATGGTTCATGTGAAAAATTAACACAAAGTTGGCGTGACCAAGCAGGAACTGAAAAATCATCTCAGTGCCATACTGGGTCATCCTCAGCTAGACAGCATGGAGTGCAAATATTGCTCATAAAAGGAAAAACTAAGGAGAAAAAAGGCGGCTGAGTAGCCATAAGATCCAGAACTGCTCTTCTGGGATTTATGCTATGGAAGAGACTTGTTCTAAGTTATATTTTAAAAGTCTAGATCTGTTGCTGTAAGAAGCCTCCACAGAAGCCTTAGCTGTGATACCAAAGGAGCTTGTACATCTGATCTACTGAGGGCAGATTGTGGTGATAGCGAGAGACTCCTTTGCTCATGTAGCTCAAGAGCAAGGACTAGAGCTCCCCTGTGCCTAAGCCAGCAATTGGTCATACTTGTCAAGATCATTTGGTGTCCCTTGGTAATGTGCTACCTGATATCCTCCTTKCTGGGCTCATATATATATWTTTTTTTTCTTGAAGCACTGATATAAAGCTTCAATTTCAGACACAAATTTAAGTATGTCTCCATGGGAGTTGGGTGTCTCCCATTATATTCCAGGATAACTTAAAATCAATTAAGCCTAGAGATCAATTTTAAGTGTCTTAATCATGAACTGAATCCTCAGACTCTGTTATTCAGAGCTCAGCTATTCAGAACTCAGACTTATGTTGTTTCTGTTTGTGGCTAGCATATTTAGGCCTATTTTTTGCTTATCCTTAGCCACTGTTTTAATAAAGATGGAGATTAAAATACAGCAATATACTTTAAAATGCTAATTACATCTATCTAGTAGTGACTCTTGAATCATTGCAGCTACGAAAAGCAACTGTTTGCAAAATTGAAATTCTTCCCAAATTGACACGCTGCTGATTTTGTTTTCTCATTTCCTTCACATAATGTGCTTGTGATAAATAACCCTTGGAAAGCCGCAGCGTTGGGCTTGGCGGTGGTGGCACAGGGCTTGGTGGGCAGCACGCCCCGCTGCGGATCATGGGCGGCCGACGTCTCCTTCATCAGTGAGAGCCGGCGGCGCTGCCTGCCCAGCGCGCGTTGGGGCGGGTCGCTCAGTCCCTTGGGATACTGGTTGTTAGCCCTGCTTTTTCATTTGAGCCCTGGTGAACAAGTAACGTATGTAGGTGTGGGGTTTTAAAGGTGCCATGTCTTCACAGAATCACAGAATGTTCGAGGTTGGAAGGGACCTCTAGAGATCATCTAGTGCAACCCCCTGCTCCAGCAGGGACACCCAGAGCAAGGGGCACAGGGCGGCATCCAGGCGGGTTTGGAGACCTCCAGAGAAGGAGACTCCACAACCGCCCTGGGCAGCCTGTGCCAGGGCTCTGTCACCCTCACAGYGACCTTGTTCCTCCTCACCTGGAGATGGAACTGCCCGTGTTGCAGTTTGCASCCATTGYMCMTTGTCCTGGCACTGGCCACCACGGAGAAGAGCTTGGCCCCTTCCTCCCTACATTCTCCCTTCATGAGCTTATACATTTGCCTTATGTACTTAGGAACTTAAATATTTGTCTTGCTTTTGTCGTACTTAGAGCAGATGCATTTTGATAGCAAGTAACTGACTCTTCTGGTGCATGGATGGCCCTGGATGAAAGCTTTTAGCCCCGTCCCGTGCGGTATGGTGAAACGCTGAGCCCGCGCAGCCCCACGCCCGACCTCGCCGGTGGTACCGGGCAGCGAGGCCGCGGCCTCCTGCCTCCGCTGGCAGAGCCTGGGCACCTCGAGCACCGCAGCCCTTGGCCCCACGCGACGCTCGGAACCCTCCTGCTGACGGAGGGCTCGCTGCAGCTACTGCCAGCACTTGTCCTAGCGGTGTCTCCTACGGAAAGGATGACTTTGGTCATTCCCAAATTTGCGCCCTCTCTTTCCTCACTCTATGGCTTCTGCAGAGTATCAGCAGCAAGTGCAGGAGCAAAAACCTCTATCTGCCCAGACCAATTAATCTGTTGTTTCCAAAATACAGAGTCCTTTTCACACTGAGTGAATATGCGCACAGTAATTACCATTTTGGGTCCTCCTCCTCCCTACACAGATTCCATAGTTTAATTTTAGCTTCAGAAAAAAAAGGAGATGAACAGCAGATGCACTACAGGACTTTCAGATAGGGCTGCCCAAGTGGCACAAGCTCATGCTTATATTCCTGGAGCTAGCACTAATTTATGTCATTATTTATTATAGCACACAGAACCAGTAAAATTCACTGGTATGTTTGCTTGATTATAGGTTGACTGATAATCAGGACCAGAGTGCTGGTGTAGAAACTGCAGACGCTCACAYAGGGCAAACTGCATTAACTACAGGCTCTAAAATGTAAAGTAAACTTTATTATCCTTGAACCACAAAATAGATTTCTTTGGTTGTACAAATTTCACTAGTTACAGTCTTGATGCGCTAATTTTCCCTCAGAGTCTCTCAGGAGAGAATGGGAGAGAACCCAGAGCCTGGCACCAGGTACCGCAAAGGGAAAGGAAAGAAAAATCACAAGTTAGTCACCAAAACCAATCCAGGATTGTTTCCAAAATTGCTCTTGTTAAAAAGCAAATGCTAAAATTAGATTTAAAAAGGAAAGCTCAACTTGCTGATGATGGAAGCAGCCATAGCTGCAGCTTGAGATTATCAGAATTCCCCCTTCAAAGCCCTGCAAAATTAAAACATACAAAGTCAGTTAAAATGATCCACTGGATTTTGGCGTGAAGGGAGATTCCCAACTAAACGAACTGCATCCAGTCATTCAGCAAATACACAAGCAGAAGTGCCTGCCACTGCCGAGCCACGTCCAGTCACTGCGAGGCCTCGGGTGCAGCTCTGGTCTTGCTGCTGGAGGCTTCAGCAGAGAGCACCGGTGCATCAGGGTAGGCAGCTCAGGCCCCTGCCAAGGCCATTTGCCCTTCTCWCTTCTGCTGGAGGCATTAAAAAATAATAGTAAAAAGGACCTTTACTTCAGTAGCGGGCAGTAGAGCAGGAGAGACCGATTTCAGAACAGAGCTATAAGCAGTGTCCGTCTCCTCCACATTTTGCAAAATTCCCTCCAAGCCGAATCTGTTCTAAGGCCTTGTTTCACGAAGGAAAACACCAACTCACACCCCTGCTCCCGTATTTTTCTTGCACGGGCAAGCACGTATTYGCCCTGTTCTGCATGGCAAGACACTGCACAAAGCCCGTGTGCCGGCAGGGCGAGCTGGGCTGCGCAGTTATTGCGGGCAGAGGCCAGACCCGTCCTCCGCAGGGCTCCCTGCCTCCTCCGTRCCGCGGCTCGCCTCGGTGCTGGCGGGCAGTGCAGTGGATCCACCCACGAGTGTCCTCCTACCTGTAAGACCCCGTTACTCCTAACTTAACCCGAGCAACGTCATCTACCTTTCCCCATTTTTCTGAATCCTACCCCACTACCTTATCTGCTGTTTACACCTCCTACCTCTGCCACCATATCCTAACACCCAACTATGCTGTCCCCTATTGCTGTCACACATGCACACTGCTATTTTCTCACTACGGCTTTTCAGCTTGTTCCTCTTTCCGCCCCGGATCACCAACTCGGTCGTGATGCTGACAGAAGACAGACCCGCTTCCCCTGGCGCGCGCGCGGCACCGTGTCGAGTGGCCAACACCTCGCGGGACACGCGGTCACGGGCGCCTCTCGGTGCCCGTCTCCCAAAGGGCAGCTCCCGGGCGGCCAGGGCTGCTCGCAGAGGTAAGTGGAAGGGAGCCAGTGCTTCCTGGAGCCGGCAGCGGCTCCCGCTCCTCAGGCTCTTCCTGAGCACACGGCTGTCAGTGTCAGAGGGAGGCACTTCACTGGTTTGGTTGGTTTTTTCCTTTGCCTCAAAGCTACCGACTTCCACTTGCTCCCGGGAGACACGGAGGTGACGCTGGGTGCGGGAGGTGGAAGGAGGCGCCTCTTGGCAAAAGACCGGAAATTAAATAGCAGTACAGGCTGGAACTCCCTTCAAATCCACACTAGAACAGAAGCTCCCCTAGTAATCATCAAAAATCCAAGCTGAGGAACAACCCCCGGAGCGCCCACACTCTCACGCGTCTGCTCTCCCCGTCCTACCCCCCGCCCCCCTCACACAATATTTACAGGCTAAGGAACTGCAGCTCCTGCCGTCCTGCCCACACCTCCTCTCCGTTGGCTTTCCGTAAGTCTAGTGTTGTCCCACTTGGCTTAGGACGTGCCCCGCTGTGCTTCGGGGCGAAGAAAGAGGGCGCTTCACAGCCTTGAAGGAAGTCAGTTAACCGAGATGCTCCCCCGGCGCGCAGGAGGCGGCTGCGGGGCCGTCCCGCGCTGTCCCCAGAGCGCAGGGAGCCCAGGAGCCCCGTGTGGGGCCGTCCCACTGGCCAGGTGCCGCAGGTCCTCTACGTGGGGACAGCAGCCTCCAGGCTGCGCCGGCTGTGTCGCAGTTTGCGCTTGCTGCTGTACAGGGCCATTTCTTCAAGGGCTGACGCGGCTGGTGTTGGTGAGTCGTGTGTTAGTAACGTGTCCTCGTCCTCTTGCTGCCCGTCCTGCTCCTGGAGAACTGTGTGGACACAAAAGGTTCAGGTTTTAGCAGAAAGTGCTAGTGAGGTGCAGAGCTGTTGCAGCAGATCTAGGCRCAGAGGTAAAACCCTGCGTTGCCTCAAATACAACACCCAAATCTTTAAGATTAAGATGGCATTTAAGCCAATCCTGTGCTGGTGTTTTCAGGTGTAGTGCATGTACTGATGTTATGGATTTTGAGAAGGAATTCACGTGCCTGAGAAGACTTCTCTCCCCAGCACTCCGGCAACACTCGGGAAGTGCCCAGCCTTAGGAAAACCAGGGATCCTGACAGGCCCCAGGCGCCTCCTCGTGCTCCGAGTGCTGGTGCAGCGCTCAGTACTGAGCGCTGAGCACTGAAGGCAACGAGAGCAGCTGCACGGTGCGGGTAGCCGAAGAGGTGCGGGTAGCCTCGGTCTCGCTTCGTGTGCAAGTTACACAGCTAAGTCTTTCTTTGTACATTCTGAACTTCACTCGTGTCTAAGGAATTCACCAGAACAGGACACCCTGTCAGGGCAGCCCTTCTGTTAGCTCTGTATCAGGCCCTGTGGGCACGTGTACGGCTGCTGAAATACCCTGCGGTTACAGGGGCTTTTGCCTTGCCAAAGGAAACGAGTGCGACTTGTCCCAGGAGCTCTGACAAGTGCCTGGAAAATCTACCAGTTGCAGTAGTTGGACCTGAGCGATGCCTGTGAGATACTTGGAACCAAGTATCCATTAAAGAAGGCAAGAAGGAAAAAGCTCCATTAAAATCACACTTTTTTTTTTTTCTCCTCAAACATCAATTGGCTCCTCAGAAGCTCTTCTCCACATTTTTTTTTTAATTTAATACAGAATCTCCAATAAAAAAACATCTCTGAAGATATATCTGAGCAGAGATGCAGTCTGCTGAGTTGTACATGGGGGCCCTCCTTCCGAGCTAGAACCAGGCTCCAAAACACCTTCCTCATTACAGGACGCAAGCAGGACTATTTGCTATAGCCCACRATTGCTCCTGTAGTGTAACCAGTTGTTTGAAAAGACCTCAGGACCACATGAAAGTAGATGACAAATCTGGCATCTTGAAAGGATACTAAAATTGATTAAGATGATGACTGACTTCCAGACAGGGCAAACCAGTAGAAAAGAAAGGCATACATGGACATGCAGATAAAAACAGATCTGGGACGGGGGAGATCAAGACAGTTTTCAGCGAGGGCGGGCATGCCTCTGAAACCCACTGGAAGTGGCAAACATGCAGGGCAGCGGGATCCCAAAGCAGCACCTGGATGTTGCAGAGAACCTTCATGTTCCTCAGCTAAAGCTCCTAACAAAAACAGGCTGCCATGGGATAAGATAACATGGCTCTCCGCAGATTAATAAGTAATTAAAACACAGAAAAGGTGTAGGAAGAAACTTCTGGAGCAATTTGTTATGTGTAGCACAGTCCATGTTTGGTATATAATGAGTGACAGAAGTGAAGGTGCCAGTGGCTCCAAGTCGTGCATCTGGGCAGACAAATGAACATTACCACAGAAGAAGTTCATTAGGATTTTACAGAGCTGACTCGGCAATTACAAGGTCTTTGGAATTTACTATAAATGTATATAGATTCAAGAAAGCAGTGAACAAATGAACTCTGGAATTAACAGCTTCAGGTTTAAAAGTGCTGTAACACAAACTGTTGTAGTCTCAGGCAGTATTCTGGAAAGAACCACTATTTGCTTATCTTGTATGCTCTGTTCTTGGCATCCCCAGTCTAATACCAGACACAAATACTGGGCTAGCCTGGATCTACTAAGCTCTCTTCTTATGTTATTGGATGAAACTCGAGCTCAGTAAACTAATGTAATTAGTAAGGTAATCCTAATGTAATGTAAAAGTAATGTAATCCTAACTGCATATGAAATAGAACATCCTTAAAATAAGATGGCAAATCCAGGGGTGCTTTACGCTAATACCTTCCTGTAGCAAGCAGCAAGATATCCTTGGAGTTTCTGTTATAGCAGTTTTCTAACAAAAAGGTGAGGACTGCTAATGAGTTCACCCTGTGGCCAAAAGCCAAAGTTTCATCATCAGGGACAATTTTGATTAAAACCCTGATGTGGTAAAGGGATTCCGAGTAGGAATGTCACAACAATTTTAACAATTAGGCAGTATTAAAGCTATATTAAAGTCACATACAAGGGAAGTGCTCAATAGGAGTCCTGAATTCCTCAAAGCTTAGCAAGCATATACAGGACAAGCTGTACAATTCAAGAAACATTAATTCACATTTAGCGTTATTAAAGGGATGGGGACACAACGGTCTGYGGTGCAGACTCTAACACGTATCGTAATGACTTGATTTACATCCAATTAGCTGTGGCACAGAGCAGAACTTTGTACCCTGGCGACTATGAAGGACGATACCTGGACCTAGCTCTGTAGAAACTGGTGCTTGAGGTGCCGGGAGCTGCCCATGACCCTGGTATTTGGGGGTGGGAAGGACTGAAACTTGAAAGCCTTGTCCTATATCAAAATAGCCTGGCTGCATCTCAACCCCTTATCTGAATTTTGGACAAAATGCATGCCTTTTGATGCCTCACACATCACAGCCTCAAACAGKGGTGTCTAAGGTTTACCTAGCCTACAGACTAGGTCAAAAGTTCTTAATAGAACATCGTGGTCTTTTTATTTTTACCATCTGAGAGTGACTTTTATTCTCTTTGAGGACTGATGGAYGATAGGATGGATGAAGTCCCTGTGCAGGGGCTGATTCATTCCTGATGCTTCCACATTCCTTGGTTATGCAGACTGACTGAACAGGCCATCTCAGAAAAGAAACCCATGGCTGAGACAATTACACAGACAGGTGGACGTGACCCTATTCACATGAAAATGGGCTGTGGTACCTCCTGCTAGGAATGGCCAACACAAGGATCACCTGTCTGGAGCGCAACCTTTACCAAGGACATTTACCAAGACAAAACCGRGAGAAACAGTTTCTTGTACACATTGAAGGTGTGTGTGGGGAATAGCTGCCAGACAGGCAGAAAAAAAACAGCATTGGCTGTTGAAAGAAATGAAACTACCATTAAGGAGCAGGCCCTGCTGAGCTCCACGCTACTGTAACCACCACCCAGAGAGAAGCAGGAGGCAGTCTGAGCTGCTTGTATTATTATACTTGGAGACACAAAGACACAGCAGCCAGCACGGCCTGAGCAAAGATTTCAATACTGTTCATTTAGGCTCCCTCCCTGCCACACAGGTTCAYGAGGTCAGGCTTAGCAAAGCTCCCGGGCACTCAAGCGTCCAAACGCTCTGAAGTCCTAAACCAGGGGCAATTTATCTGCCATTACCCTCTGCTAGAGCAAAGGATCTCCCTGCCTGCAGCAGGGCTCTGGGCAGACCCTGCACAACGTGTGTTGTTCACCTAACGCGGATGCCAGAGGCCAAGTCCTCCCGCCACGTTCTGCCCACTCTTTGCTCCAGAACAAAAAGCAGGAAGGAAGAAGGCATGCTCGTCACACAGCACCCCAGCAAGTTAGTCACCACTGAAGCACAATGCGGAAATCCTACCCAGAACTCAGTGCGCAAGTTTGGAGCGGTCATTCTAGAAAATGGGAAAAAACAACATTGCCTCAAGCAGCAAGAAACTGGTGTCCTCATTGCTGATTCCACGGGCAGGCAAAGGGGACCCTCCAGAACCGCTATGGGAAGCACGTGGTTGCTTGGCCATCAACTTACCTGAGTTATTTCTGTCGTCTACATATCTGTGATCATCAGCTGCATCAGGTGACTGGAAAAGAGCAAAACAAATGAGCGTCTGTGTCCGTGACAGCAGTGCCAGGTGACTGCCCGGCCTCCAGCCTCCCACCACGCTAGAGGGAACCTTCGCCCTCCAAGCCCTGGCGACACCGCAGCTGTGGCGCACACCCGGGCAACGCGCAGGACAGCACACTGAGCCTTGAAGGTCAAGTGAGGCAGCCTGCTGCTCGAACTGCAGCCCAGCACAGTTGTCCTCCTGGCACTTTTGGGTGGGCTGGGAGGGTACACGAAGGAAGGGGCAGGAAAAGCAACAAGCATACAGAAGAAGGGGAGCAGAAACATGAGAGCCGGGACATGAGAACTCCACACTTCTTTGACAGTCCTGGACCCTAGTTCTGCACGTGCAGTTTCCAGGTCTAGCCTCCCAGACTGGTGCATTTTCGGTATTTGGGTGCGTAGAGAACTCACATGCACTTAGAGCCTACCAGAGAGACGACATCTTAAGAGAGATTCAGAGAGAAGGCTGAAGTGGTAATTAGGAAACTCCACCAATTTCTGCTAACTTGGAAGCCTTCACAAACTGAAGACTATTCTCAACAACCACAGCTGTCTGTAGTTCATCAGACTAGAGTTTTAACACCATTAAACAACAACTTTGGTCATGGTCATGAACTTGAGGTGGCTTGAGAATCAGCACTACTGTGGGGACAGGCATAAATGTCCCATGTTCTTGTGGCAGGTCAAACTACTCTATTAAGGTTCTCTGTTTACCACAACAATGACTGCATTTATTTCTTGTACCATTCAGGTTTGCACACAGTATTTATGCTGAGGAGCTAAATGCTTCTCTGGGCTATACAAATACAGGGACAGGATTTCAGAAGACCTCAGTTCCAAACCTAATAATGCCAAACTATTTTGAAAGTTCTGGTCACTACTGAGCAACATCTGTTTGTTTGGGATCTTCTCCTTACTCAGCTCAAGGGTAATCTTTAATTGCAGGATAAAAGATTAGGGCTCTGTGGGCTTATATGGAAAGCACTGCAGAAGTTTCACAGCTGTGAGAAGTCAAGACACAGGCATTTCCATATAAACTTTGTCTATTTTGTGCAAACCAGCAAGGCAAAGAAGGGGAGATGATCTCAGACCGTTTAGTCCCTTAGAAATAAAGCAATGGCACAGTAAGAGCCACGCTCTTCATGAGGAGCAGAGAGCAGAGCACAGGGGACAGTGATGATTTCGGCATGTACTGCTGAGGAGCTGAAGCAGGTTAAAGCCTAATGCGGCAAAGCTGCTGGCTCTCCATGCAAAACACAAACGTGGCCCCAGGTATCTAACATTGCCCCTTCATTGTCTTCGTAGTTAAAAAGGAAAAAGAAAAGTATTATGAATGCATAGCGTCTGCTCAGATCCACTGTCACAAATGCAATCAGTTAATGACAGACCCAGACAAATAAGAGGTTTATCACGGGAATGAGCAGGACCTTAAATGCTGTTCATGAAATGAAATGAGTTTTTCCCAAAAGAACCTGGCTAAGGTGCTCGTCCCACAGCTTTGTGACTGCTCTCCTCACACAACTACTCATAATTCATCTACAGCAGAGTTAAAACAACTGGAGTTGTCAGCACAGCTCTTTCTTTAGCAGGTTTAAAACTAAACTTGCTCCAATTTGCAACTTGTTGGCAGTTTTGTAGATTTTTTCCCCCTTTTAATTCTCATTTTTCACTTTAATATGTTTCAGAATCATTCGACTGCCTCTAGAAGTTTGCCAGAGTTGCCATGGGCTTGCATCATGTCCAAGCGTGGTGACCTTAAAAGCATTGAGAAATGATGCTGAAAGGTGAAGATGAAGCTGCTTTATATTTGCAAAGGCTCTGTCAGTTTTAAAACCATTTGGATCAATTTTATCACAATCCCACTTGAATGAAGCCTTCAGGAATAACTGAACTGCATAGCATGGCTGGCCATCATTGCCTCCCACACTGACAGGGCCTCCAAGGAGGACTTCAAGAGGTCCACCTTCGATGCTAGGTCCTCGCTGCATTTGCAGGCACTACCATCAAATCAGACTCTAACCGATGCAGTGGCTGGCAGGAATTCAGCATGCAGTTTATACCTGGATTTCGTAAACGGGTTTGGAAGAAGGAATGGCAGCAAACTCCCGGTAGTCAAACTTCTTTTCRGACAGGGACTAGAAAGGACAGCGAGAGAGGAAATAGAGAAGAGTAAGGGGAGAGGAACAGATKGAAAACAGCAGCAAGCAGAGTGATTTACACAGAGACAAAAGCAGAGGCAGAGTGTCACTCTCAGTTAGTGCCAAGGCGTGCCTGGATACAGTCTCTGAACACAAAGCATCTCTGGGACATTGTCTTTTATCTTTTCTGGCACCAGGACAAGGGCACCAGGTTGCACAGAAGGCTTTATGTGCTCCATCAAACTGCACACCACGATAGGTAACGAGCCTATCCTCATGGGAAAAATAGGGACAATATTTCTGACAGATTTAGCATAGCCAGGATTCAGTCCAGAGTTGGTTCCATGGTCTGATCTTAGGCAAAGCTGTGTCCCCTCTGTGCAGCTTCCCTGTGCAGCTATAAACTTCTCAGTTTTATAGCGTGAGCAAAACAAGCAGGTGAAGTCCCTGGAATGAAAGGCTTTCTGAATGCAGAGATGGAGGAAAAGGATTGAGAAGAAAGGGTGGAGTAATAAAACAAGGGAATAGAAACAAAACACTAAAACTCAGTTGTTAAAACGGGGATGCTTCTAGCAATGGGTATGGCAGAGTTCCAAGCAAGATGCCCTCCTCATCATTTTGCACATCATGTAGACAGACCTGTGTAAAGTATATAGGTAGGGATCCTGTGAGCCAGATGTATGATCCATGCCCCAGGTCAGTGACTGACAAATCCCAAGATTACAGGCAAAATAACAAAAGTAAGCAGAAGTATCTCATACCAGCCTTCCTGGAGAAGTGACATTCCTGGGACTGCAGTCTGCAAAAGAAGATGTGAAAGCTCTAGTTAGTGAACGGCTGCATTACACACAACACTTCCCTGTCATTCAGCAACATTTAAGTGTAATAGAAGACTATGCTCAGGAGAGACTGCCTCCTCAGCACAAGTGCCTCCTTCCTGCCTTGGAACAGTATCTCAGATGTTTAAGTCTCGTTTCTATAGGTCAGGACTATCTCCTATGCTAAGAGTTGTCATATACCAAAAGGAACTTCCAGTCTAAGCAGAACGAGGGAACTTCCAACCGGTCTGTTTTCAATCACAAGAGAGCAGCTTAACTAGACAAGCAACAAGGTTCACTCCTCAGAGCCTGGGACACGRTACCTTCAAGCGGCGTTGGTGACGGCGTAGGAGCAGGTGAAGGTGACTCTGCCAGCTGCTCCAGAGTGCTGCGTTTTTTGCCCTCCTTGGATTTAGCAATAACCATTTGGGCTTTAAGAGCGTCCTGTTCAAGTGACTTCATCCTGCCTCAGGAAGAAGGGGAGGAGAGAAGCATAAATGACACATCACTGTAAGAGCCAGTGCCCTCTTCTGTGCCAGGCACAGTCCACGGACAGGAGGCTGAGCGCAGAAAGGTGAGATTAGCACAGTGGCCCCTTGGCTTCTSGAGGGAGGCACATTTTCACAGCAGGAAAGAACAGCTTGTCTTGCTGCCATCAGACATTAGTGCCCTGAAACACATGGTGCCCAAAACCTGGAGCTAAACACCAACCCACTGAGAAGCTGGAGGCCTTTCTGGAGGTGCCCTACGAGACGGGAGAGCAACCCAGGTTAGGAGGGAGGTGAACGGCCTGGGCTCAAATAAGGAGGAGAGTTTTTCCATGGGCTTTTGCCTCCTCCRTGCTCTCAGGGTGCTGTATCTCAACACTTTTCTGCCATGAGGAGAGAATGAGCTACCTAAGACAAGGCGGGCTCAGCTCTCTGGAGGTATCTGCTTGCCAAGGCCCAGCAGCCCTCCACGTCACTCACACTGAGGGGCTGCCGCCTGCGGCCCCTCAACAAAACGAGCACCGACCACCACACTCGGATCGCTTCCCAGCCGTGCGAGGACGCGTCCGGGAGCGGGGACGCCGGGGGCYGTGGAACATGCAGCTGGCGGGGGGGCTGTGCACACCTGGATTGGCCTCCTGACCCYGCGGTTCTCGAGACGTGACTCTGCCTTGGACTAGGCATCTGAGCTGGCCTGGCCCCGGCAGCAGCTGCCCGCTGTCGGGACTGGTACAACCTCCTGGCCAGGTCCTGCTCGTACTGTTTAATACTGTCTTCAAGAGCTGAGGATCTGAGGAGGAGGGGGAGAAAGAGAAGGAGGAGGAAGAGGAGGAGAAAGGGGAAAAGGAGATGGTGGTGATGAACATCATAGAAGACTAGCGCAGGGAAAGAAAGAAATAGAACAGGAACATACCCCGGCGAGAAAAAATATGCGTCTCAAAGAGAGGTAGCCTTGTTTAAAACAGTCTCCTATATCTGATCCTGTCCAACATCCACTGCTGCAGAAGCAGGAGTCTCCAGAAGGCAATCTGAGATGACAGGCCAGAAGCGTCAGCCTTTAGAGTCTCAGCATYTAGGGACTGACTCCTTGAGTGCTGGGGATGATGAGGAGGAAGGGCCCAGGCGGCCAACAGAAAGAGCCCAGCAGGCAGTTGCAAAGAATTACGTATGGGTGCACGTGTGAAGCTCACTTGGGTACGAGGCAGGATCATCTGGGTGTGCACATGCATTTGGAGAGCAGCTAGGGCATATCTGCATATCTCTGTTTGTGACTGCCTGTTAGCATGCACCATGAAAGTGTTGACCATGGGAAAAAGGGATGTAAAATGGACAACGGCAGCAGGAGGGGGCAGTATTTGCCAAGGACCTGGGACACAGGCAATTGAGAGCTGCATTGCTGTAGTGCATTTGCACGTTGGGCATACAGCCCTTCGTAGACCCTTGCTGTCCCGTCTGGATCGGTGCCTTTACCTCTCGGTCCTGCTCCTCCCACGGCACGAACGCCAGCAATTGTGTGTGCTCAGAGCACGGGTCCCAACGCGCGGGTCCCAGCAGAGCACGCGGGGCGGGAGGGGGCTGCACGTGGCYGGGCAGGGCACGGAGCGCACAAAGGGGAACCCCCGGAACATGCAGATGAAGGGGGTCACCCAGACCAGGGAAAGGCAAAAACCAGAAGGTGGAAGATTAGGAAGTAAAGGCCATGGCATGCACTTAGGGAAAGCACAGGTTAGTGAAGCTGCAGCACCAGACGCAGGGCAACCCAGTCCTCCCTCACACCAGCTACTGCTTGGGGCCTGTGAACGGAGAGCTGAGCCCTGGCTGCCCCACGCGTCCCTGCGCCTACTGAGCCGGGGCAGGTCCAAGGAGGAAGGACCCACGCTAGGAGACACGGGCAGGGGACAYGCTGAGCTCGAGCGCCCGCCCTCGGCCAGCAGCAATGAGCTGTCACGGCGGTGACCCCTTGATTCCTGCCGGTGCCACAAGAGGGGAGGCGTTAGCCCTCCCCAAGGAACCAGCCAGCCCCTTCTCTGAGAAAACGCAGCGCCTTGGAGGGCCTGGCATGCAGGCACAACCCTGCGCTCAGCACCCCCTAATCCTGCCAAGAGCGCAAGCCCAAACTTTGCTGTGTCCTAGGGAGCCTCAGCAGATGCCCGGCTCATCCCGAACGACAGGCAGGTGTGTGGTGTTGTCACAAGAGTCCGTCACGCTAACACCAAAAACTGCTGCAATGTTTTCCAGCATCAGAAGTTGCTTCCTCTGGGGGCAATAGCAGAGCTCTCGGAAGAGCACAGATTCTGGAGGCAATTGGTGCACATGCTGGACACACAGGCAGTGTCATCACAGCTCCTTTGCTTTCAGAGGTCTGCATTATGGACAATGTGAGGGTCTTCCATTCTATATCTTAAACAAAACCTCCACTCTGTCACTCTGTCTGTCACCTCTCAAAGCACAGTCCTGTTGTCTTTTAGAGTGCTCTGCCTGCAAATCAACTTCTGTTTCATTAGGGCAGATACAACAAAGCAGCATTTCTTTAGGTGCTGCTAAAAGGTTCTTTAGATCCATTTAGGCTGGACGTGACTCCTGCTGACGTGGTGCTTAGTATCATGCTGAACTTCTGCTTTTATGAGCGTATGCTCATAGCTTCCCTGTGAGACACAGAAGTGCTATTACAGTCATCTCATGAGATACGGTGCATCTAGGAGACAGGGTGATCCGCCCAAGGCCACAAGGAACTACAGGTAAGGATTGGAGTGTGGTCATCCCAGCCTCAGCCCTGCCTCTCCTGAGTAATGCTTGGTGAGCACACACTAGCCCTGTCATGCAAGGACGGTGCCTCTGTCCCAGCAAGAACAGGTCACAGATTCTTTTCTGCTTATCAAGGTTTTGTGAAAGGGTTGTTCCTCAAATAATACTTTGGTCATTGGTTCTGTGTGAGCTCTCAGGAAAATAATAGTTTACATAATAATAATAATAATAATAATAATAATCATTCAGCTTGTCAAATATATACTGGCACTACTTTTTTTCCCCAATTTTTGAGTTAGATTTTCCCTCTAGGCTGCTTTATATCCATTCTATTCAAAAAATACACTGTAAATTATACAAAAACATTACATGTCCTATGAAAAATAGGAAAGAGAGTCTTTGCTTTACATGAAAATACTAAACTTCATTTGTAAAGGATGCTACCTGAAAAAGCAGGGTGGGTTTCAAAGGTGTATAAAGCATGCACTAAGAAGAAACTCAAATCTTTCCTAAATTCAAGTTTCCTACAACAGAGAGGCTTCCCAGCGCTCAGTTTTCTGATCCCACAGGGCAGCGCAGGGAAATTCAGGCAGCTTCCCAAAATCTTCCATCCGAGACACGGATTCGGCTTGGGACTCTTTCAAGACAAAGGTGCTGGAGCACTGCAAAAATTCATTTCCTGAAGGGCAAGAGCTCTGGTACGGGGAACATCTGTTCAATCCAGCTCTAAATAAACCATAAACTGATGCATTTTATGATCTCCAAATAACAACAGGGCGCTTTATGCTCTCAGAGCTCTAGAAAATTTGTCAACTCTCATTTCTTCATCCTCAGAACTTGCTCAGGAGAAGACAGCACTATCACCATCCCTGTCWGGGCACAAACACTGGGACTAAAGGGTGGTATCACAACCGACAATCCGACCTCATTTAGGACAGGGTCTGATCTGACAGGGCAGCAAGGACCAGTCTCCACCAGCCCTGTTGCTCTGAAGGTCTCATTCAAACTCAAAAGCTTTCAGTTTACTCTCTTAATAGCTTCCTACAGAACACTCGGGGAAGAAAACTAATTAGTTTCAGGAATAGTTTGACCACTTTTTGAAAGAAATTATGTGATGCAGTAAAGGCCTGGACTAGCTTCTAGTCTTAAGTTCTGAGGTAGGGAATCCTCTCTCTCAAGACAACTGTTTAATTATGTGTTTGTAGCTGATGAAGCAGCTGGATAAAATTAGCCAAGTCTTACTAACTTCTTGGATTCAGCAAGTTTTCCAGCCTAGCAACCCCAAGTATAAGAAATGCTCATTCCCTTCTTCATTTTTCAATCTGTTGTGTTGCAGCTTCACTAAATATCACCTTCACATGCTACAAAAGAGGTGAGGAGCTCTGTGCCAAGAGGAAATGGATATATTCACCACTGTGTAAGTGGTGAGTATAAGTGTGTTTGAGTCACATTTTTTAGAAAATTCCATTGTCCTCATGATAGTGCAAGCACTGCTGAAACAGAAGACAGAGACTCAGTCCTGGACGTGTCAGACRCAGATGAGCTCAGCCAGGCAGCGGGTGCTTTGCCCTTTTTGAACAGAAGCAACGTCCTCCCCTAACCTGCCGTCTTCCTAAGACAGGTATGTTCCCTGATTCTGAAAGACAGACAGCAGCTCCCTGCTTCCTGAGCTAGCCCACTGAAGAGAACAGGGGAGATCCTTGTGTCTCACCGTGCTGCCCTCCACATTGCTCGTTTCTCTGCCTCCAGAGCGCGGCGCTCTGCTGGAGAAAGTTCCTTCTCCTGGCCGCTCAGGAGCTCGGGACTCTGCATTCGCAGCCGCTCTTGGTGCCGCCGTTCAGCTTTGGCTGTCCTCACAGGTGCCACTGGATCTCCTGTTCCAAGATACACTGGACTCAACCTGCGGAGAGAGGGAGGCTGTGAAAGACAGGCTGACCTGGTCCATCACCACTCTATCTGCCTGTTCTTCTCAAGATAGAGGGTGACTACCACCACTCCCAATCAACTGTCCTCTACCACATCCAGGTTCAAGGACATCACTTGGGAAGAGGGAAGAAGGACACAGAACACAGGCCAGTTACTCCTATAAAGATGGTTCCAAGCAGTTTTCCCTTTTCTGCTAAATCCTTCCTTTCACTCCCCATATCTGCTGAAAAGCAGAAGCTGCTGCTTCACTTAGGCAAAGGACATTGCTGGCCCACCTACCCAGACACAGAGTTGGTTCTCTGTTCTCCCTTAATTCCCTCTTCCAGTGAATTCCTCTGTGAGCTGCTGTTCTCACTGGCTTCAGAGAGTCTAGAGGAAAACAAGCATGTGAGTTAATGGTACCAGAGACTGCCAAACCAGGGAAAATTCAGAACAGATCCAAGCCCCAGGAATCAACAGCTAGTTCAGTTTGAAGATGTAGTTCTTGACAGACTTGAGTTTTTGCTCAACTTACAGTATCTCACTACTGCAAGTGTTTCCCTTGTTGGTCTCACGCATCTCAAGCCCTGCCTCTCTACCTCAGAATTCATTTTCTTTGTTTAGGGGTCAGCCCTGCCCCTTGCACTCACACACACACACACACACACGAAATGCTCTGCACTTGCTGGCCAGTTCTCCCGCACTCCCAGCCTTGCTCCCCGCAGCTGGCAGCCTGTCTGCTCCTGCTCCTCCTCTGTCAGTGCCAGATCTGCATAATCGTTAACAAAAGATGCTGCTCAGGGGTTGCAAATGAAGGCAAGCCTGGGGTAAGGGCAATCCAGAGCGATCCCATGGCACTGATTCTCAGTGTTGTCGCTCCATGCACAATTGCAGGACACTTTGAGCATTTACACTCATGTAACTGCATGCGCCAGATCAGCTGAACTCAGTTACCATCTGCACTGTGCAGCGGAGGCACACGCAGACACCAGCCAGATGCACCTGGAATGAAAGACCGTACAAACCCACAGCACCTCTTTCCACAGGTCAGGGACATGTGCTGCAGCACAGCTGGCGGTCAGTATGGTTATCATGAATTTAAGCCCTTACGTTTACTGTTCAAATGTATGTTGCTTTAATTTCAATTTCTGTTCTAGTATGAAAAAAAAAATTCATATGATTGAGTCATATCAAAATATATGACTCAAAATGACAGGATGAGCATTTTCAGCTACTGCAGGACTGACTATGAAACTGTTTCGTAGACTCAGAAGAGTCAAACAAGGGTAAGTCCAAAAGCTGTAGCTTCAGCTTTAATCTACCCCAGCTATATTTTTATCTGAGATCTGAGTTCTCATTCCCCAGCTGTATAGCCAAGAATAAGACAACAACTTCAAGGCAACCTGGAGAACAAGCCCAGCAGAACCAGGCAACAAAAGCCTGAAGAAGCAAAGCTGGGGTAGGTTCAGCATCAGAGCTCATCCAGCATTGGCCATGTCCACAGAGCAGAACTGAAGGAGCTGTTGTTCTGAGGAGAGAGCTGAGGCCAACTGCCTGCTGCTCGTTTCTGCTTGCAAGAGGAGCTGCTGTCCAGCCTGCTTCCCCCCACATCACTCATGTTCATGCCACTCATGAACCCAGGGGTGCACGGAGCTAGCGGTCTGTCTTACCGAGCTGCTGAGGCCTGGGTGCTCCTTCCATTTAGCCTCTCAATCTTGTACTCAATTCCTTCGATGATGACACTGGACTGCAGGCTCATATCAGGTGCCTGTTTTACCATCTCATCCTCTTCCCCTTCTTCTTCCAAGAGAAGGGCACGTTTCTGCTGCAGTTTTCGGGCTGCCAAAACAACACAGGCTCATCTTAGAGTAGCAAGTGCTCACTAAACAGCACGGGATGCAACCTCTGGGCAGGTACTTGTGCTGAGCACCCCTGCAGATTTCTGCTGTTCAGAGTCTATATCCTCTCCACAGTCAAACTTATTTCTCCTCCACTCCATTAATGCTTCAAACATGTAACAAGTTCTGCCCCTTCCATCAATCTCTTCTTCCTTATTCACTAAACTTAATTTTCTCCTACAATTCTCTGGATTATAACTTCCAAGACTTCCACTTCTCAGCACTCTGGCACTCTACAGAATAAAGGCTTCCAGCAGCCCAACAGGCTGAGTTTATTTATCGCSAAAGTGGATGTAGTGGGCAGACCCTTTGCCTCCTCCCCCAGGATGGAAAGCCCTAAGGATCTGACATTCCCATCTGTCTCCTTGAGGGAATACAGCCTGGAGGGCCAGGGCTCAACAAGCGGCACTGAACCAGTGGGAATCATCAATCAGTCAGACACACAAGTCACAAGAGGATGAAAGACCAAAAGGGCCAGTGAGCAGGCTCTCCTCTGCAGACTCCTACAGGCACAAGGACCTGTCAAGGTCCTGACAAGGACCTGTCCAACAAAACTGCAAATAATGCTGCTTATCCCATTCTGTTAGAAGTTGTTAGACACACAGAATGGTTAAGCTTGGAAGGGACCTCTGGAGATCATCTAGTCCAATGGCCCCGCTCAAGCAGGGACACCAAGAGCATGTTGTCCAGGACCATTTTCAGACAGCACYTCCACTAGTCCACATGGGAACTATGTAGCATCTACACAACTCCTTAAGAGTGCAAGTGCTTCAAGGCATGACCAAGCCTCACTGGCAACCACTCACTGGCTTTTGGAGCTGTTGGATTCCTGGTATGTGCCCTCTCATTGGCCTTCCTTGGAATAGGAATTCACTGGAATGGGTGAAGTTTCCTTGCATAAATTCTAACATACCTTCCTCTTCCTTCATCTTCTTCAGGTCATCCTCTCCTACCAAGGAGACACGCTTGGGAGGCTTATCCATCTGCTGTTGCTTCACCTCAATCTCAAAATACTTCTGTCTCTCACGGAAGGATCGCTGCTCCGGGCTGTGCAGCCCACTCGGCCGCGGCACCTGTGACAGCCACACCAAAGTYGATGTGACCAGAGACCCACAGCCCCGTCCCCACATCTCCACCACATGACTGTCTTGGTCCTGCCCCCTGGCCATGGCCCCAACACCCCCATGCTCTCCCTCCTCCCACCTACATTGTGATCCCATTTCCAGGCCCACAGTCCCACAGGTCTGAATAGCTGGAGTCCCATCCTACTTGCAGCTCTACCACCCGGACTCACCTCCTGGGCACTTCTGGGTTTCTCTGTGCTGGTCTGACCAGGCAACTCCTAAGGATACAGACAAATAGGTGTGTTATAGAAAGACAGTTTCCTATCATCATCTTTTTCTTTTTCTTTTTCTTTTTCTTTTTCTTTTTCTTTTTCTTTTTCTTTTTCTTTTTCTTTTTCTTTTTCTTTTTCTTTTTCTTTTTCTTCTGCTTCTTCCTTTTCTTTCTCTTTCTTTTTTTCCCTTTTCCTTTTTTCTCTTTTCCTCTTTTTCTCTTTTCCCTTTCTCTTTTTCCTTTTCCTTTTCCCTTTCTCTCTCTCTCTCCCATCCCCCCATCCCCTTAATGCCCCTCTTCCTCAGGCTGAAGTGCTCCGGGTGCAGGCTCACCGGGGCTGGGCAAAGGGCAGGATCCCYTCCCTGGACCTGCTGCCCACTCTGCCTCACGCAGCCCAGGACACTTCTGGCCTTCTCRGCCACACGGGCACAGGGACAACTCAGGGTCACCTGCCTTAACATTTTCATTGCCAGATGTGACTCTGGAACCAGGATGGCATGAATAAAACTTGTGAATAACAAAGGCCAGGGAACAAAAGCAGAGTTTACAGAATTCCCTGGAAGTGACTTCACTCATCTTCAAGCACTACAAGCACTACAAGCACTACAAAAATTTAATCTACTTTAAATGGCCAAAAATCAGTCCTTCAAAGTGCAGACAGAGCTGTCAGTCATTTTAATTTACCAAACCAGCTCAACAAAAGGCTGCATGAGCAGGACAAGGTGGACAGGAGGACACGGTTACCCCAGATAGAATAAGAAGTTGTGACTGCAAAGCAACCTTAGCTCCAAGTATAGCCCGACTGTGAAAAGAATGAGCCCGACCTACTGCCAGATAAGCAAATGTACTGGCAATGAAGAGAAAGAGAGAAAGAGAGAAAGAGAGAAAGAGAGAGAGAGAGAGAGAGAGAGAGAGAGAGAGAGAGAGAGAAAGAAAGAAAGAAAGAAAGAAAGACAGACAGACAGACAGACAATACTACAGTGCACTTGAAATCTTCCCTGAAATAGGCGTTCTCGTTCACCTTAAGATGTGCCAGAAAGAGCACTGAGACAGAAAAGGCGAGGGGAAAAGCTAGCCAGGGGACCAGGAGAACAGAGGGTCTTTTCAAACACAGAGAGACAAAAGAGGCAGTGTTTTGCTTCTTTAAAGCAGTAAATGAAGCAGTGGTAGAGCTGTTGATAAACACGCTGTTTCAGACAGCTCATGTAACTGGAGCGCTGCCACGGAGGGAGATGAGCTCTTCAGGAAGGACAGGGAGGGAAATTCCTTCTTGTCTCCAGCTGCTAACGGGGGTTACAGGGAGCCTGAGGTCAGACTCTCCTCAGAAAGGAGAGGTGAGAGTCACATGTGGCAGCAAAGGAAATCCTGATAAAATACAGGGAGAAAACTCCTCACAGTGGTCAGACACTGAAGTGTCCACCCAGAGCACAGAACCTCAGTTTTTTGAGATGGAATCTCAGTTTTTGGAGACATTCAAAACTCAGGTGGAACAAGCCTGAGGAATCTCACACAATTTCAAAGGTGGCCCTATTTTGAGAATCACAGAATCACAGATTCTATTTTGCATGATTCTGTGATTCTATTTCGCATGGAGGACTGCAGCAGATGACACCCAGCAGTCTCATCTAGCCTAAATGTTTCTGTTTAAATACTTGGAGGGATGAAGGAGAAGAGAAGGATAATTCTGGTTAAGTTAAAGTGCAGAAATTGACCAAAATCAAAAAAGATCTTGAGAACAGGAGTAGCCTGGCCTTGGAGCCTGGAATTTCAGACAATTTCTATGTATCAGGATAGGAAGTTTATGCAGCAGCATTGTAATATTCTGGAGGACTAACAGGGACAGGAAATTTTATTAGCTTTTAGAAATATTTATTAATAGGACTCTGCAGGGTGGCCACCTGCAACTTGAGCAGACAGCGAAGTCCCAAGGACGTCAGTACATCCCTCTCACAGCAGCTTTCTCTGGAGGAAACAAATTACTCCCTTCTTCCTACCCTTGCTCACTCATAATGCTCCATCTTCCCTTGCTCCATGGCTTGTGTAAACTCCACTCACTCGTCACAGTTACCTGTGTCTCTAGCAGAGGGTGTGACACGGGCACTGCTGCAAAGGTCTTGTAGGCTTGCTTGACATTGAAGGGGATCTCGTCAGGAGAAGGCGGTGAAGGCGGCTTGGGCTGCAAGGAAAAAGATAGAGAGTAAGAATAACCACAGGTGTCATTTAAAAGAGAACGTGGGGGAAACATCACAGTCATGAGCTTGCAAAGCCTGAAGAACGTGTAAGGGAAAGYGGCTGCAGCCTCGTGAGGCTGCACCTTCTGAGCTGCGTGTTGTTTGCACATGACACGGGGCAGCACAYGTGTTTCCGAGGAACTCATATCCATGTCTGATTGCCTGGGTAGAGGASGAATGATAGTTCTAGTGCCATGGATCCTCAGTGACCCGACCACAATTCTGTGGCTGATTCCTGGTCAAGGGAACGCACTGCTGTCCGGCTCCTCAAGGGTTCTGCCCAATCCAGCCAGTGTGTACCAATGGACCTAGGYCTGGAATAGGGCAGCTCTTGATTCTTTACTCTGATGCCTACTTATGCCTTAAATCTGAACAAGCCAGATTTAAGCATGAAAGATAAGGCTCATGTGGCCACTTCTGATACCAGGATCTTCCTCATGAGGGATCTACTTGTCTCATTCCATTTTATTTTTGAGGAYGCGTACTTCTGTTCATAAAACTACCAGCCATATGCTTCTACACATTTCAAGCCACGGCTGCCTAGACCAAAGCGACATCTCCTTCAGGACTCTATAATCTGCAAAAAACTTACCTTTGAATTTAAATTTTTCCCTTCATAGAATTTCACTTTTTCTAAGAAACATCTGACGAGGTCCAACAAGACCTTCCTGCTGGATGCTCAGCTGTGCTGTGCTTTTCCTCCCCTGTCTCTCCTATGATGCCCCTGCTCCACTTCATCATATCTAAGAAGAAGTGGCATCACAAAAACTCACAGAGGCAGGTGGGAGCGACACCATCTCCTTCCTTTCCACTGCAAATCAAACCCCCTCTAGTTACTTCAGTTACTGTCTCAGCCTCTGACCGCAGATTATTCCTGGACAAAGGCTAAATTATGGGGCTTGACGATGTTCCCTCCTGCCTAGGCTGAAAAGTAGCACATCAAGGTCAGAAGGGAGATCCTAAAATATGTGATTTTTGCCCAGTTACATGCATCAGAAACAGCTGTTTGTCTGTTTTTGTCTACAAATCACATCTCTAATTTGGTACTGCATCCTATAGGCATCAATAAAACGAGAAGGGCTACATTGCAGGTAAACAAGTCTCCTGACGTGGCATTTCTTACCAAGGCAGAAACCGAAATACCTGATTGCTGATACTCTCTCCCATCAACTTACAATTCTGACTGCATGAATCTTAAAAAAAAAAAAAAAATCCATAATTTTGCAAATCACAAAACCTGACACCAGCAGAATGGTACTGGCTTTTGCTCCACGATGCAAGACACCAAGGTTATGACAGTTCTATACGTCAGAATGCAGCACGTCRTCTATAAATACACATGTGAAAGCGGAGCTGCTTGGCAGACTTCAGCCAGCGCCCGTCTGCAACAAGGTGAAGCGCCTGAGCGGCCACCAGGCAGGCTGGTGAGGCTGAAGACACGAGGCGGGGTGCCCGAAAGCTGCACGGGGTGCACTGACCATGACTCTCTCCACGGCTGCTCGGGAGGAAGAGGCACCACTAACGGGGTACCCAGCCTGGGGCGAAGCCACCCCACGATCGCTAACCTGCACGGACGGCRCGTTCAGCCACCTGCCACGTGCAGCCTCGGCCGCAGCGCTGCAGCTTAGCAGGAAGGAGGCCACTTACAGAGCTGAGGGTACTGAGGCTTGGCTCTTGCTGCTGGAAGGGATTGGGGCTGTCCCCATCCTCCGAACTGCGCGGGGCCGCGTTCGGTCGCACTCGGGAGAGAGGCTGAATGACGCCCGGCTTGGTCTGCTCGAGCAGCAGGTGAAGGGCAGGGGGGGAAGAGAGAGACAGAAGAGAAACGAGTGGTTAGGGCAGCGAGATGGCTCTGACATGCAAGGGAATAGGGCAAATCCATGCACGTGAGCCCTATTCCTCACGGCCGGCTCCATCTACCAGCCTGGAGCGAGGGCTACTAGAGCAAACAGCAGGTAGTGCCTCTGCTGGAAGCAGCTGGGCAAGCTGAGAGGCAGACTGGCTAGGGTGAAGATGGCTAAGGACAGGACACAAGACACAGGACCTGCTGCAACCGCAGGCATCTGCAAGGTCCGAGGGATATGGCACGAATGCGTTGGAGTCCAGGAGAATTCAGTATCATGAACAGCAGATGCAGCTGGAAACAGCAGGGACTGGCAAAGCCTGAGGTGCAACTGGGCTGAGCTCAGTCAGAAATGCAAACACAGGCAGGAGCGAGGAGCAGGGACAAGTGCCCGGGGCTTGAGGTAGATGCCACCACTGATGGATGCTGCAGGGAACAGCACAGCAGAGAGCAGGGAGCGGGGAGGAAGGCAGTGGGTGAGCCAGCAGAAACCACGCRGGGGAAAGCTGCAAGGGTCAGCACGAATAAAAGCTGCAAAACTACTTGCATCAAGCTTTAAAATGAGGAAAATTTAGGGCTTAGTGCATTGTACCAACTTCAGGTATAGTGTGGGTTAAAAGAACGAGTGCTAGAGCCCGCAGTGGGGCTTGCAGGGCTGGAAGGGCGCGCAGGGGTGAGGGGGGCAGGCTCCAAAGGCAGGGAAGGCACGGGGAACAACAGCGAGGCCTCGTGGCACTTGTACTTACTGATCTGTTGTCATCCTGCGAYGCAATGAAATTAATGGAAGCCTGAAAACGGGAATAAGGGTAAATGCGGAGTCCGTGCAGGCTCTGCACAAAACCAGCAGCACTCGCGAAGCGGCCGCGTGCGCGTGCCCGGCGCGGGACGCCGCAGGGAAGCGCCCCGGGCTCCGCGAGGAGCCGCGCGGGGCCCCCATGGAGGGTAGCTGCTCCCCGTCCTCTGCGGCACGAGGGACACGCAGGGTGCCGGGCATGGACCCCTGCCCGCGGAGGGGCCCTGGGCTGCCCCTTCCCTGCTCCCGCTGTGGAGCTCCAGGTACCCAGACAAACACCCGCCTCGTCCCCGCCTGTCACCCGCAGCCGCAGCACACCCAGGGCACCTGCGAAACTGTTCCAAAACTCCAAGAGCCCCGAAACAAGCCCAGGAATCCTGCAAGGACTACGGGACGTCGTACGCATGGAAAGTACTTTAAAAATAAACGGAGGCAGAGAATTAACGATCCCATTCCTTATAGTTTCTACTCTGAAGGAACAACTTGAAGGTGAGTCCCCTGTATCCCCAGAAAATGTATTAGCTGTAAGGCAGGTGCCCATCTTATTTCCTTCGGGGTCTTCTGTTGGACCTGATCTGTTCTACCTACTGGTGCCTGCGCGGAGAAAACTAAACCTGCCCAACCGCCTCACCTGACACACAGGAGGCTGCCACGCAAGCCCTGATCAAAAACGTATTAAACAACATAAACACAAACGTGATGGACGGCTCGGGCACAGAACGCCGTGGTGAGGATGCTGATAACCCAGCCTAGAAACCCAGCACGGGGCCAACAAAGCTCCTGTGAGCACCGGTGCTGCCAACTCGGAACCGCCAAGGGAGAAGCCTTTGGAAGGGGCTGGGCTGGAGCTGCCCGCCCAGGATCCAAGAGCCGAGGGGACACGAAACAGGCCAAGGAGCTGTCCCGCCGTGCAGGACGGGCCGAGCTGCAGCTCCYGTCCCTGCTCCCGCTCCCAGCCCCACGGTGCGGAATGGTGGGATGGTGGGAACGCTGCCCTCGCTCCAGCGTGGCCCCGCTCACGGAGCAGGCGGCCGGGGACGCAGCACACGAGAGCACGACCGTCCCTTCGGAGGGCCGCTGCGTGCCAAAAGCAATGCAACACACACACAGCACAGCACACAGCACAGGTTGCAATCCGTTCTAGCTTATAATACAACAAAGAATGGCATGGAATGAATGTGGAAGCAAAACACTTTAAAACTCACTTAATATTTCCTTTCATAAGGCACAACAAAGGTGTGAAACCTACAGATGAAAAGTGGACTCAAGCGCTTAGATTTAAAAGGGAAAAGAGTTGATATAGATAGCTAGAATATCTAATCAGAATAGACAATGCTTATAAAAAATCAAGGGTTATGCAAGACCAGAACAACCTCCCATTTCAGAGCTAAAGCTGAGCTTTAACTAAAGAGGTTCAGAAGATATTTCTGAAGGGTAGGTTAAACCTCTAACTATTTGCTGTAGGATCCTTGAATTTTCTTCAGATAAAGACTGCTGATAGAGTGAGAAACAGAACTTGCTTATTAACCTAAAAATGGGTTCCAGACCCGAGATGGTTTTTGCATTTTCTGAATCCAAACTTTTCCATCTCTTCTGATGTCCTGATTGCCAGAATTAGTCTCTCTAAGGCATCAGTGAGTCCATCCTCAAAGACAACCACCACTGTGCAGGTGTTCTAGGTACTGCTCAGCTGATAATTACATACCAATACTGACCGACTGATAATTACATGGGTAACTAAATGAACCTTTGGAGAAATAACCTCTTGATGAATTTATGACCAGCTATTTTGAAGGAGCAGAGCTCTCCTAGTTTTAGACCGGCCTCCCTTAACGCACACTGTCCTCCTCGGAGGTGTTCAAACACCCCCATGCTTCTCAGCTGCTGGTCCCGGTGTCCTCCTGCCCGAAGAATCCACCTCCCTCTGCTTCCCACACCATGTCCTGGGTCAGTCAGTGTCCCAATGTCCCAAACTCCTCGGTGCGTTCTCACCTGCTGATTGCCAGGAGAATAGGGGGCTTCCCGCCTGGAATTTCCAGCCCCAGACTCGCCTGCAGGAGCCTGAAAGACAAAAGGCAAAACTAGGGAGTTACTGGGCAGCTGGAACTCCCAGACACCGGCCCTGCCACTGAGAGCAGGAGGCAGGAGAGCAGTGACATCCGAACGGGCCAGCTATGCCCACACCACAGCAAGGAGGAAGATCAGCACGGGGCCAAAGGCAACTGCCACGGCAGAAACTTGCAAAAAAACCCAGTAGAAATGGCAAAAGAATTATATTACCTAGAAATAAGTTCATATTCAAATGCCTTGCAAGGCCACTGTGTTAAAGCCTTCTGCCTTGCAAGATGTCCCTGGGAATCCTTTCCCCCCAACTTCTCTTTAGCCTTGGACAAAATGGGCCACAGTGCAGACCAACGTCTCGTTGTAGGGACGTTGAAGGCCCTCGTTGAAGGCCAAAGCCATTCCTATGAAAGGGGACAAGATTCATCCCCAGCCACCACCACTGTCTTATGTTCTAGGCTACTTCAAAGGCAGGAAGGGATCTCATCCCTTCCGTGGGACCCTCTTGGCATCGACACTCATGCATCAACAACTATGACATGCAAGCAGAGTCCATGTCATTGTCCAGATACATAAAGACTGGCCACAGGATTAAGAAGCATGATTTAAAAAGTAATTTAGAAGCCTAAAGACGAGAAAATATATATAAAAAATGTTATTTACAGAACCGTTTAAGCAATTCTAAGGCTTCAGCATCATTAAYAGCACGTCCATGCACTAGTGAATCATCCAACCATGTTAACTGGATCGAGGTCAGTCTCGGGCACTTGCATTCCACCGATCAAGCCAGGAGCTGTGACCTGAAGTTTACACTGGAAAGCAGCAGGTATCTAATTTTCTCCTCTATTTACATGCCCCCTCTCAGCTCTGCAGTGGCGGAGACTGTGGCAGTTCTGCTCAGTTCTGCCCAGATTGTGGCCGTTCTGCCTGAGCTACTTGCAGACCGCCCCAGCGCAGGGTGTTGGTGTCCACCTCAGCAGAGGTGCTCATTAGCACAGAACTAACCCTAGCAAGAAAACCCTAGTTTTGTCCAGGTTTTGTCCAGGTTTTGAAGTCTGCCTTCAGAAACGACCCCCGCTTTGGAACCACTGCCTTTCATGTCCATTACCAGCAACTTTAAACTGGATTTCTGTTGTGTCCAAAGAGCAGCCTTGGCATTTAGGCTGTTGAGAGCTTACAGACATTCCCCTGTGTGTGTGTCTCAACCCTCAAATGCCCACACATCTGTGAAGAGTAAATTTGCACCAAGGACCTAGGCTACAGGCTAAGGACGACCACCGAGTGGGTTGTTTCTGGCTGTGTGGGAGGGGATGTTTCCTTTTTGGGGGTGTTTTGGTTCTCTTTTCACAGCTCCCAAAAGGCTAATAAAAATGGAAAGCGAGGAAAGGGGTGGTGCTCACCTGGCACACGACATTTTGGGGTCTAGTCTTTGCTCTACTGAGGTTTGCTGCGCAGTACTTGGAAAGTTAAACGCAGGCAGCTTTTCCAGAGTGAAAAGCAAAGTTTTCCCTCAAAACCTGAAAGCCTGGGAATGTCAGATCCTTGTCTCTGAAGGATAGCGTGTCTCCGGGCTGCGGAGCAGCTTGGCCAGCGCCTCGGCTTCTGCAGAGCAGCTTCGTCCAAGGCCAGCTCTGCACCCCGACCCCGCCACCGTCCCCCCGGGGCCTGCGGCTCCCCACTCCGGCAGCCCCCGGCCGCGCGGCTGCTCGGCGGCGCCCGGGGGACATTGGCGGCCGGAGGAGCCCGTGGGTGCCGCACGGCAGCGAGGCCCAGGCGGTTGTTAGGCAGGAGCGGTGCCCGCGCGCGGTTTAGTCGCGGGGGGCCGGAGCTGCGTGCCCGCATGCCACACGCCGCTTGCCTTGCAGTACAGGCTGGTCTTCAGCACGCCCCCCCGGCCGTAGCCCAGGGGCGGCCCCCCCAGAGCGGCCGCCTTGCCCTTGCGGTTGGCCACCACGAAGGGGTTCTCGCTGAAGGGGATGGGCTGGCAGTCCACCATGCTCTCCTGCTCTGGGGCCTGCGGTGGCTGCTCCGGGGGCCGGGGGGCACCCGCGGGATCCCGCTGCTCCGGGGCAGGGCCGGCCGCGCTGCCCGGCGCTGGTCCCGCGGCTCCTCCCGGCCCGGCACGGCCACTGTCCCGAGCCCCCGGCACCGGCAGCGCGGAGCAGTCGCCCTCCATGCCGCAGCTGGCACTAGGGCACGGAGCGAGCTGGGAGGGAAACAAAAGATCAGAGAGACAGAGGTAGAACAGAGGAAGGCAGGAGGGAGAAAGCAGAGCAGGGGTCTGTGCCCCCAGTAATGAGTTGCGGAAAACAGCCCTGCACTGACGCCCGCCCTGCTGTGACTTCCCCCTCTCCCGATCCAGTACCGGGGTGCCGGTGATCCCGCATCCAGCTTCCCTGACTCAGCACCCGTGATCCCGCTCACTGCTTCCCTGATCCAGCACCCGTGATCCTGCTCACTGCTTCCCTGACTCAGCACCAGTGTGCCAGTGATCCCGCTCACTGCTTCCCTGATCCAGCACCCATGATCCCGCACCCAGCTTCCCTGATCCAGCACCCGTGATCCTGCTCACTGCTTCCCTGACTCAGCACCAGTGTGCCAGTGATCCCGCTCACTGCTTCCCTGATCCAGCACGGGTGTGGGCCGGTGATCCTGCACCCTGCTTCCCTGACCCTGCTCCCAGGAGGGCTCCTGCTGCCAGGAGGGATCTGGGTGCCCGCATGCAGGACGCACACAGCTCCCGCACACACCTGCCCCGCTCCCGCTCTCACCCCTCCAGCCTGCGCTTCCACCCAGCACTGCTGCGGAGCCCGCGCCAGCGCAGACCCTCTCCGGTCGCTGCAGCAGGGMCAGCACTGCCACCCAGCGCGTTCCAGCATCGCCTCCCAGTACATTCCCAACGCAGGCCCAGCACCACCACCCAGCACCCTCCCGACGCAGCACTGCTCCTTCCACACACAAATTCCCCCCGCCTTGATCCGAGTCGCTTCCACCCAGCGCTACCATCAGCCCCGTTCCCTCCCATCACCCCTGCACGAGCCACTGTGCTGTTAGGGCCCCACTTCACCCTAACTCGCACTGGTAGCAAGTAAGAGAGCTAAACAACAGCTAATGTAGAGCACCCRTACTGGAGCAGAACTGGAGCAGCTCCAGTTCCACCTGGGCTGAACGGCCCCTCCGAGGTGACGCACTGACCTTTCCTCTTCTAATGCCACAGGAGGGTGCCCGTCACCCCTGCCAAACCTTCTTCAGGGACGCACAAATGATCGGAGCTGAACGTGGGAATCCTCTCCCATCCGAGCGCCTGCTGGGGAGCAGGAAGGTGCCTTCTGCTCTGCGYGCATTCTGTGACAACCTGGTCACGATGCGCTCGCAGAAATAGCCCTCAAGGGCCGGCTGGGTGGGCTGGCGGCTGCAAAGGCAGCTGAGAGCTCAGGAATTCCTGAGGTTCCCATGCAAGCTGCCGGGCCCAGCCCAGCCGAGAGCAGCAGTTGCCGCAGCCTTGGGTCGTGTCACGTTTCTTCACACAGTGAAGCCTGCACTGCTCTTAGAAATTTTGCTAATGCAGCTAAGCCAATTTAATATATATAAATATATATGTATATTAACACTACTGAGAGAGAAAGAGAGGACTTTTCTTTTCCTGGGTACCCTAAACTACACTACAAGTCCTGTAGCGCACAGGGAGTTTCACAGCCAGGAAGCACTTTTGAGCACATTATCTCGGGATGCAATGGTGCAACCTGCCAGGAATGCATCTCCACAGGGTGGGAGATACTGCTGACACTGCTCCCGTTCCTGCTACCTGCCCTTGCTGAGAACACAACCACTGGCCACGATCCCATGAGCTTCCTAGCGTCAGCACAGGCTGCTGGGCTCACCCAACAGGGAAGCAGAGGGCAGCACCCRCAGAGCACTGCGGACATGGACGTGCCATCCATCAGCTTTGCAAGTGTGACAGACCATGAGACCATAAGAACCGAGCTTCGCCCATCCCTCACCTCATGCTCCAGCACCGCTGCAGTGGCCGTGGACTCCAGCGCTGAAGGCCCTGCTCCCCCCACTCCACACGTGGCTATTTTTACCAGACGAGCAACAATTTCTATTTTGGGAAGGGGAAATTTGGGCCGTGTCATTCGCTTTTTTCAGCCTCATGCCTGCCACTCCCCAGTCCAGAAGGGAGGACAATCATGTTCCCCCCTGCCCCCTCCAAGGCAAGCACGGGGCAAACGCACTTGCAGTTCTGATCCATCACTCAGACTCGTTTCAGCCCTTGTTCTGGGGCAAATTTAAAATCTCATGAACAAGCGTAGAAAAAAGAATCAGCGGCAGAAAATTACAGAGAAAGAGATGCAGACTAGAAAGTACAGACTGTTAATGGACTGTAATTAACAGTGACACTTTGCTGAGAGATGTGAAGTCTTTTTACTTGCAGCCCAACGTTTAAGTGCTTTGCAACGGCTAGATGCAGTTACTGACGGGTGAGGATTTCAGGCCTGTGCTGCACAGAAATCGGGATTACAAGGGCCTCTCTATTACTCTAACGGGATTATCCAGAAATGGCTGTAAGGCTGGATCTCCACCACCATCAAGCTACTGATCTTACTGGTGTGAGAGGGAGGCGCATCCCAGTGAAGCTGTCTATTGACAACGCTCAGCTGCAGTTTTGAGCGCACGCGGACACAGAAGTCATCATCCCAGCAAGCCTTTGTAACCCGTGCTCACGCAGGCTCAACACCCAGCAATACAGAACAATCCAAGCTAAATTTGAACACTTTGGCCCCTCTTCCTCAGGCACAGCTCTTGAAGCACCCGCACTTGAAACCCCATTGCAATCTGTCGCAGAGCGCTGGGACGGGGCTGCAGCGTCCCCTGCTCTGGCARGGAAGGCAGCTCCTGTCCCCAGAGCTCCCACGCTCCCCGTGCGTCGAATCCAGGCTGCTGGCAGGGGACCCTGCAGCTGGTCCCGGCCACACGTCACCGCCCAGCACAGGAGCCCTCTCCTCGGAGACGCGGGCTCGGCCAGGACGCTGCTGCGGCCCAGGGCCAGCCCCGGCGGTGACGGTGCCGCTCCTTGGTCTCCCTGCGTGTTCCTTGGCAGCGAGAGTTAGAGGCCAAACTACCACGGAAAGAGCAAGGGAAATAATATATATATACCTTACAATATATACCTCTTATAATATATACTATACAGCAGGGACGCTGCTTAGAGGGGGAAGTAGTGGCCGAGAAAGCCAACACTTAAGAAAGGAAGAAATAGAGAAAATACTGTGGGAAGAGGGCAGTAACTCCAGTGGCCCTAATCAAAGCAGACTGTGCAGAAATAGCYGATCCGATAACTGATGGCCACGCTTTTCTGCTGCCAAATTGGGGCCAGTTTGAGCTCTTCAGTTGCCCAAGGGGGCTAGGGGCAGCTCTGGAAGGAAGGGAGAAGCCCCGTCGTCCTTGAAGCTCGTATCTCTTTCTGACTATTCACAGTCTAAGCAGACGTATTTTTCAACAAGAGYGATGAAAAAGCTGGACAAAGGACAGCTGGGGAGGACGAACACGGACACTATGTGGCCCTTCCCTTGCAAGGAGACATTTATAGACACCTCCCATACACCCAGCATTCCRGCACGGGCAGCCCCACATTCCTGTCCCAGGCATCCCAGGCCGACACGAGAGCCGCTGGAGCTGAACTGCTGCTTTGGATGACATGGGGTGTTCATCAGACAGGCAGCTGCTTACCCGGGGCCGGTTCTCCCCTTGTTTCCAGCTAAGTTACATTAATAGCTGCTAAAAACACATTAAACCTTACCCCAATAATATATTTTTTTCTGTGTGAATGGCCACCAGCTACTCTGTGTAAATATCCAGGAGATAAAAAAACAGAAGCTGGAGGGTATGGAGGGGAACAGAATGGGACAAAACTGGACGCAAAGTAGAAAAGTGAGAAAAGAAAAGGGAGAGGGCCTGAGGTCAGAGACAGAACAGAAGAGGAGGAGGGAAGGCCTGGAATGAGATGGAGACACTAAAAGTGAAAGGAACGTTCCTGAAACCGTGGAAGAGGAATGCCAAGATTGTCAGGTCTGGCAGCACTGGGGGGCTCAGGGCAGCAGCCCCCAGTGACGCTAGAAGGGGGCTCTTGTGGTGGCAAGATGGGATCTGAGACAAAGACCCGGGGCGTGTTTGAAGGAGCAGCAAACAAGCTCGCAGCAGGCACCAGGCAAACGYGGGAAGACAAAGGAAGAGCGAAGGGAGCAGAGACGGAGCAGCGAGGTGCAGTGAGCAACGCTGCACGGAYACCACTTGGCGCTCGGTGGATTCGGATTCTCTCCTCTGGGCGCTGTTGAGTGTCGGGGACTGAGATGCAGGAGGCCGGAGCGGCAGGAAGGGCCAGCCCGTGCCCAGGCTGTGTTGTGACAAGCAACCGCTACCATTCTGCCTTTCGCAGTCCCAAAGGGACCGGTGCCTTCGCCTAATTCCTGGCACAGGTGCCTCGCTTCCCTGCTCCTTTCTGAACGCCAGGCTCCAATGTCCTTTGAGGAACATCAACCCTTCCACATCAGGCCCAGCCTTCCCCTCCCTCCTCCACAGCCTCCCATAGCTGCTCCTTCTCTCTCCCACAACGGCCCGTTCACCCTGGGCTCTTCTGCCTCCTTCCCAGACACTTCTCCCTCCCATCTCGGCAGCAGCAGCTTCCCCTTCTGACACGGACAGCAACCTGGCTCTCCACTCTCCCCCATTTTCTCCTTCCAACCTGGCTTTCTGCCGTGGTCACCGTGTGTGGCCAGGCTTGCCGCAGCGCTCAGCAAGGGCTCTCCCGCGCTGCRCTCGCCGGGACCCTCTGGCCAGGGCGGCAGGAGGGACAGGGGTGACCCCGGCTCCCCTGGCAGGACCCCCCTCACTTACAGCGCGAGTGACTCTTTGCAGGGCGCTGCTGGGCAAAGCGGCCAGGGTGCGATAGTCCAGCCGCAGGGGCTCGCTGCTGACGCTCTGCAGAGGGGCAAGGGGGAGGCACAGACAGACAGACAAGGGAAAAAACACCGGGAAGAGATCAGGCCAGGGAAGAGATCAGGCCAGCGGTCGGCTGAACAGAGCAGTCAAAGGAAACCGCCCGCTGGCAGCAGCCAAGGCCTCCCCTCCACACAAGCCCTGTGGCAAACTCCCGTGGTTGGGAGATGAGGCCAGCGTGCTCAAGCACAGCCATAGGAAAATGTGACAGATACTGGAGAACCACCACCGAGGAGACGCCACTGGGGCCTGGGGAACACACAGGGGTGCCCGAGTCCCACCCACTCCTCCTGTCCCCAGCACCCCCCACCCCTTCCAGGAGGGAAAGCGGGATTACATCCACAGCAGCTTTCCCAAAGAGCATCCACAGAGACTTTCAGTTTGGACTGCAAGACTTGGAAGAGAGAATCTACAGTTACTCCATGGTATCTCTTCCCATCCTTGATTCACACTTATGGTTCAATTTTCTTTGACTTGGCTTCCCATTTGAATTCGTCTTTCAATTTCTAGCCACTTTCCCCCATTCCTTCTACAACCACATAAAAGATTCCTTCATTTCTGATATATTCCCTTATACCTTGAAGTCATTTTTTTCTTTTGGAGGGGGAGTAGGGGGACAGGTTAAGGGGAAAGAGCATTTCTGGAGACTCCTTCCACCCTGAGCCCCGGGGACTCGTGTGGGGCTCCGCAGGCCCCCCGCCTCGCTCCTCACCTCGGCCTCCTCCTCAAGCTGCTGCGTGGCTGCCTCCCGCTCCCTGCGCATCCGCTCCTTCCACGAGAAGAGCACGAGGCCAGCGCAGCGTCCATGCGGCACAGGGAGAGATGGAGAGAGGTCAGCACCATGCAGGGCAGCGGGCCAGGGAGAATAAACAGGGCTGGCGCCAGGAAGGGTGAGTGGGAACGCGGCACGTGAGGGGAACGGAGCAGCGACTCTTCCCAGCACAAGGAGACGGGAACGGCCACCCCGCACAACACAAGCGGAGATGCCAGCAAGTGCCTCTAACCTCTGACCAGGGCTAATCCTCAGGAGAAGGGGGCTGGTGCTTCAGCAGCGACACGCTCATCTGCAGCGTTTCGGCCAGAGACGCTACAGAAAGACGGGAACCCTGAACGCGCCGAGGCCGGGCTCGGGAAGAGCCCCCAGGCGCTCGGCACAGCCCAGGAACGTCACGTAGGGCGACCAGTGCACAGTCCCACGGGAGCTTCCCCAACCCCACAGGAGCTTCCCCCCAGCTGCAGCCTTCCTCCTCAGCTTCACAGGCAAGGTAACAACCTGGCACTTATCTTGAACAACGACTGCCACGTGTTTGCGTTTCTGACACTTTTTGCCCTGCATTTATGTTGCAGAGGGAGGGCTGTGCCCAAGCCAAACACCACTCTCCTGTTGCATATTCAACCCTCCTGGCTGCTCCCCCAAGCCCCTCAGAGTCCTGCAGTCCCAATGCTGCAAGGACAGGAGGTGGAAAGCACTGGAGCAATGCAGAGGGAGCAACTAAGAACAGGGATAGTCACCTAGGCCTTCTCTTCAACGGCTTCTGTGCACAACCACTAGCAAAGAACCAGCGCCCGCACCACAGCCTCGCTGCCCAGACAACAACGAGCAACACGAGCAGACACAACGCTCTGCAGAATCACCAGGGCCAAGGGGTTTCAGCTCAAGTCCAAGCTCAAGTCGGTTATGCACGTTTTGCACAAGTGGTGTCTGCAAATCAGAAGCTCCACAGTAATCTTGTGCATGAGCCTTCTCTTAAATGGAGGAGAGACAAGAGGGTCAACCAGCCCAGACTGAGCTGAGGAGTGATCAAAGTCCATCACTGAAAACGGCTGAGCAGGGTTTTGGATTAAGAGTAGTTAAAAAAAAAAGAAAAATACATATAGATGCAGAGCTGGGATAGAAAAATGTGCAGTGATTCAGTGCATGAAGACTTGGAATTACTACTACATCTGAATTAACAGAGTGGCAAACTTTGGAGCTGTATATAGAGATCAGGACAGCAGTATTGGAAAACATCTGAAGGATTCTTGTGCAAAACTGAACTTTAAATACAAATGTATCAGAGGAGCAAATAGTGCTAGTGAAGATCAGGCACCGAGGTGGGAACGCCCTACTACATTATCATGGCTATCATACACTGTCATTGGAATAAATTTAGATTTAGCTCTCATAAGCAGTATAGGAGACAGAATCTGTATTTCCAAGTCACATTAAAAGGCAGTTGCAGAAAAAAATGGGTTTTTACTCTCTGGTCTCAGCCACGGTCAGTGAAACAAGAGGAGTCTGGAGCCCCCACTGCCTTCCCCTTCCAGTGCCCTGGTGGGGGGCATCAAAACCCACAGAAAGCCTGTTAAGATACAGGTAATTCTGGAGGGGAGTCGTCTCCTCTGCTGATCACCAGGCTACAGGCAAAACTCCCAGCCTCCCAGGAGGCTGAGACAAAAACCATTATATTTATTGTCAGCAGCATTATGGTGAGAGCAAACACAGTATATTGGAACACAGATCTTATAACAAGGCTCAGACTAGAGCTGCGTGGTCTTGGGAAAGGACCTGCCCTTCTTGCTTTGGCCAGAAGTTTCAGAAACGTTGGTGATGATGCACACYACCAGTAAACAATTAGAGACCCTTATGAAATCCATATCTACTAACCTAAAGCTGGCAGGGCTACCATGTGTTGCAAGAGCAACAACAAAGCCAGGCTTTCTCTGAAATCACAGCAAACCACTGTGTGTTCTGGGAAAGACTGGGACATGGGAGTCACACAGACACCTTGGTGGACCCCAGAAAGGGGACACGGGGCTTGAGGAGAGCCGTGACTATCAGGGCCCCTTGTTCAAATTCAGGGTGACTTTGAGCCCCGTGTTCTCATCTCTGCCCATAAATGCTGCCAGGTCAGGCAGTGCTGTCTGGGGAGAACAGGGTAAACGTAATTTCAAGCCTAATGGCCCATTTTTCTCAAAGTTGCAGCTTTCTGCTGCTCTACAGAAAGCAGAGTCAGGTAAGAATGAAAAAAATCTTAAGTTATAGACGAGTGCCACCAAATCCGTGTGAAGGAAGGGAGGGCTAAGCCAAAAAGCAGCTAGAATAACTGAGAGATGTCCTACGGGGGAGAAGGCCCCAAGCTCCCCCATGGGAACGGCCTTTTGGCTGAAGCAATTCGGTGGCGTTTCCTTCGGGGCTCAGAGCCTCGGCAGGACTGTTGTCAAGAACAGACTCCCCTACGTGAAAAATCTCTCACCACTTTCTCCATTTCTTCTCTCTCCCACTGAGTTGCTTCTCTCACCATTTCCATCTCCTAGGAGAGACCAAAGTTAGAGCCGCTTCACCCAGAGCTCTGTCCCGCCACGGGGCACCTACAACTACATGACAATTTCCATCACGTCCTCGTGCGCTCCACACAGAAGAGCAATGACCAAGTGATCCCATGAGGAGGAGGAAGTCCAGGACACACTGGCCTACCCACGAGACTGCAGATCAAACACACCGAGGAATTCCCACAGGGAATTTCAGAGACTGTGTCCACTGCACACCTGGCTGTGGATGGAATACCCACCTTCTGTAGGATCTCCAGCTCTTCGGGGCTCAAATCCCGATCRATGGATGAGATGCTCTCCAGGCTGTTCTTGCGCCCAATACCAGCAGCAAAAGGGTTTGCAATAATTCCTGGGGACATCTATAAAGCAAAAAGACAGAAAAAAATGGTAGAGTAGGTACTGTGCTATACAGTGAAATCTGTATGCTGGGCTTCCAGAATCAAGGTGATTCTAGGTGAGACAGAACCATACTGCAACTTGAAAAATAGTTTCCATTGCCAGTTACACAAAGAGCTTTGAAAGACCTATGAAAGATGAATTTAAWCTGGCACATGTACAGGAAGGGGGAAGATGAGGAGGGAGTGGATACATATAATAACAGAACATAAAAAGTTTACTCTCAAAGCTCTGGGAAAACAAGCAGAGAATGTACAGTAAGCTTAACTCACTGCTGGTTAGAAAACAGTTTCACAGTATCACTGCTCTGGTTAGAAATCTGGCTCTCAAAGTAAAGGTAAAGACCAAGTGGTAAAATAAAAAAGGAGAAAGGAAAGGAAA